GTCAGAGGCGCCCATGGCAATATTATATAACATGCATATCATCTTTCCAATTGTTCTTTGATACTATGACTTTAGCAGCACATATTTTGTACAATTTCTGATCTGATATATAAATATGTGACATTGGACCACAAAACCAGTCATAAGTGTCAGTTTTGTGAAATTGAGATTTATACATCATCTGAAACCTGAATAAAAAAATATTTCCATTGATGTATGATTTGTTTGGATAGGACAATATTTGGTTGAGATACAGCTATTTGAAAATCTGGAATCTGAGGGTGCAAAAAAATCCAAATACTGAGAAATTCACCTTTAAAGTTGTCCAAATGAAGTTCTTAGCAATGCATATTACTAATCAAAAATTAAGTTTTGATATATTTACGGTAGGAAATTTACAAAATATCTTCATGGAACATGATCTTTACTTAACATCCTAATGATTTTTGGCATAAAAGAAAAATCGATAATTTTGACCCATACAATGTTTTTTTGGCTATTGCTAAAAATATACCCAAGCGACTTAAGACTGGTTTTGTGGTCTAGGGTCACAAATAGTAGTGAAAGGAGTGAAAAACAACATTTTAATTTCAATACAGAAATGGAACTTCTTTATGAGATTTTTTTCTAGTATGTTCAAATAAATTTTTTATTAAACCGCATAAGATTAAGATTACATTATCTGACAACAATGCTGCATCCGAAATCAAATACTTCCCTACTATATAGTATATGAAAAACAACATACCAAAAGACAAGTATGTCTGAATTCACAGTATTCGAAAAACGGTAGGCGAAAAGTACCCGGATGACCTACTACTTCTGCCTAGGTTCTGAAGTGTGCAGTCGATGGACACTTTACTATCCCATGAGGCCACAGGAGAGGATTTATGAATAGCAGTGAAGCAACGCAACTGACGCTGGTAGGCCACGTGATAGTAACAACATGGTGGATATAGTACGTCTGAATTTCATTCGTACTACCCATATTCATACCATATAGAACATACTTTTTTAACGATGAAGTAAGTTTGATCTGTTTGATCTGATTTCTCGCCCGGATTGTAAAAGATAGATGTATAAAATCAATTTAATCACCCAAAGTAAAATAAAAGGTGTTGGAGTTACAAATTTTTATTAAGGATTGCTTATTGTGCAAGTTTAATGTAAGGATTTAAGGATTTAAACTGGTAAATTAAGCAAAAATACTCATTAAGAGTAAGGTGTTTTTTTTTACAGTGGATTTTAAATTAAATAATGCAGATTTTTACGTTTTATATGGTATTGTGTGGAAAAGACAATTTTTCCACAAGTAAATAGCAGTGAATTATTCTAAATCCTATTTAAAAATAGACATTTAAGCACAGACAGACCACCAGACACACACATGTTTAAACTCACGGACGCACGGGTGTGGTTGGCTGGGTGTGGCCCGTTGCCACGGGCGATCGTAAAAAAATTGCTCACACACATCACAGTCCGGCCCAGATGTGTGATGCTCACATTGACACACGGCACGCCCCTGGTTGTCGCGTCGACAGCGAGAGGCATGGCCATTGCACTTGCACCTGCCGCCGACCTGCAGGTCGGAAAGGGCGAGAGAGGGTTTCAATAAGGCATAAAGAGATGATGAAACGAGGTTGCGTGAGGTGTTTTTTCTCGATTTAGAATGGGACTTCCCCCTCCCTGCATTGTTTCTTCTTCTCCTCAACTCTCGCCCTTTGGAGCCTTGCTGCGGGATATTTAGGGACCAATCACATGTGCCGTCCTGGCATGGCTTGTAACTGTCCTTCTTACGTCCCCTTCCCACTCTACCTTGAGGTCCCATCTCCTTTCGTGTAACATTGTGGCCACTTTGGTGCACAGTGCTTTTGTTTCTAATTCTCTGTGTGGAATTCTGTTTTCCTTGCCTGTTTCTCCAAATTTCAGATGTCTTAACGCCAGTGTTTTTCTCACCAAACCTCAGAGCGTTGTCTCCCCTTTCCCTCCATCTAAATGTGCCTCCCACTTCGTTCAGTTTCTCTTCTTGCTTTTTCGTTTTATCCAAGGACTGATTAAATACTATCCTTATGTCTGTTGCAGTCACCCAATCTTGTAGCCCTGGACTGTAATCGAAATCTGGCGAGGAAGGACGTCCATCCAAAGTCGAGAAGGCCAGCACGGCATTTCCACGATGCTTCTGCAATGGTCTGGGATCTGAACACAGCGGCTCCGTCTCCTGGTGCTTTGTTTGAGCGATGGACTGTACAGGGCGGCCGAATGTGCCCATGCAGTCGCTTGAATAAAACTGTAGGGGGCGCCAGCTCCGGCCAAAGTCCATTGACTTCAAGATGGACATGGAGTAGGATTCCACCGACTCCACCTGTTGACAGAACTGAAGACTAATGTAAGTGATTTCAAAGCGTCTGCCTAGGGGGACTGTTAAAGTCCAATCCCCACCCCCCGAGCCTTCGGCAGCTGTCCAGCACGTGAGATTGTGGGGGTTATGAAGATCTGTTAAAGTGCTGATGTTTGTCTTGGGTCCTTGCTGGAGGTCCTCCATCATCACAGGCACCCCATAGGCCGTATTGATGAATTCAGATAGGCAGTGGCGTGGACGCCCATCCAGGTGGTAGCAGGGGTCATGAGGTGAGGTCCAGCTGAGAGGAGATTGAGAAAGAAGAGGAGAAAGAAGGGAGAGAGGGAAGAGGGTGAAGAGGAAAATAGGGAGGAAGAAGAGTGTCTGGAAAGGAGGGGAGTGATATCTGGACATGATGTCATCAAGCCTGTAACAGTAGGGAAGGAGAAAAAGAAAGATGAAAAAAATTATAAGGTTATTTAGTCAGGATACTGATGGATTTACAGGACGTTTGAGAGAAGCTTAAACAGGCGAAAGCAATGCAATATGGTTTTTCTCAGACCACACCACAATTAAAAACATCCCAGCTCACAACTCACGACACTCATTCTAGGTTCTAAGTCGACCATTTAACACACATAATGCAGCCAATCAGAGGCCTATTTGTCAGTAGGAGGTCTCTCTTTATCTGGTCTGTGTCAATGTGTCTAACGTAATGCGGCTTTTAAATATATATTAATTTTGACATTTTCAACTCTGTAAAGAAGGAACAGGGGCAAGTGAGTGTATAAACATGGAGAGATTGCAAGAGATGGCAGAGTATGTGGAGCAGCTGGTCCAATATTCCAACCCTTTCTCATTTATCATATTTATGACTTTCTACTCTTTTAATCTAAACCTGTCTATTGCAGATGGGGACTTGAGAGTGGAGATGGAAAGTAGCAGTATGGTGACTTGATTAGTAAGAGAAAAAGCAGGATGAAAAGATTCATAAAGTAAAATGTCATGATTTTTTTAACCCAAGAATGCATGACCCCCCCCCCCAAATTAACCATATTGGACTGTAACTATAACTTACTTATTTATAACTATAACTTGTTTATGTGAGAAATTTTAATTGCTGGCAGCTTTTGCTGGCCCCCTTTTTTGTTTTTTTGGTAAAGATAGAAAATTATATTGATTAAAAAAAAAAAGGACAAAATCATGTGTTGCATTGACTCTTACATACATTACATACAGAATTGTCATAAAACAAAAAATGAATTTGACATCATTACAAACAAAAATGTAGGAAATAAATATTATCGGCAACAATAATACATTGCTATTTTATACTGACAAATAACATTAATATTAATATAAAATAAATATAAATACTGTATTACTTCTACAAAATAAAATACCATGCTCAAAATTCTATAGGAAATACATATATGGCCACCTTTACAAAAACTTGTAGTACCAATCTTTTCTGTCTAAAAACAATAAATATGCAAATGACATTCATGAGGTTCACATATAGATGAGGTTCACATAAGCTTTATGAGGAATGCATGGATTATTAAAAGGTATTTAAAAAAATTTATTGAAAACAAAGATTCCATAAATCATACCCAACTCAGTCAGCTTGACACCCATTATGAATTCTAGGGTAAATATGGGCCCCTGTCTGTTCCAGGAGCCAGTGAAACATTTGGTTGTCCCTAGTCGGCACCCTTGAGCCCTGACTATAAATTTCAATAATTAACTTGAGGCAAGATGGCTAAAAAAAATTGTCTACATTTGTGTGGGAAAAAGAGAGCGAGTGAGATTTTGAGAGAATGGAAGTGAAAGCGAGAAGGACAGGGAAATGTGGGGAACTAAGATTAGAAAATAAAATAGAGTGGCAGATTTATAGATTGGATGTGAGAAATGCATGTTCAGGTTGAGCCACTTCCTTTGGCGAGACAGTGTAAGCCTGTACCCGCCTGTCTGCAGGCCCTCAGTAATGAATCTCTGTCTTCCACTTCTTGGCCTGATGGAGGAGTCTGTTTATTTATCTGATGATAATCTACACCAGAGAAAGTTGCAAAATCTCGCCTGCAGACAAGAGAAACAATGCACTCACTCTTCCTTAGACAGAGTGATATAGAGCCCTGACAAATTGTGGGTTTAAAAAAGGCAGGCAGATGGGTTGCATCTGAGAGCTAACACTCTTTGCTTCTAATGAAACGCACTGTAAAATCCTCGGTGTTCGGTCAGTGCCTCAAATGATCAGTTGTTAACTGTTGGAAGTGCATCCTAAACTAACAGATGAACACTTACGAACATTTGCTGTTCCCTCAGCTCTTCTCACCCTCTCTTTTCTCAGTGTATCACCTGCCTTCAAAGTTCTGAGAATGTTCCTAAGTGTTGATGATTGATGATGTCCTAACAAGCGTTTGACATTGACAGCAAAGTCAGCAGGGATGCATAAACGGCCCGGTAGGAGAGGGGAGCACTGAGAGATTCACTAGAGGAGTCACTGGCTCAATTATCTCGTAGGCTGAAATATGAGGACCCATAAGGGACATGAAGGTCAAAGAAAGCGCACTGAGAGGTAAAACCACCCACTGTCTTACATATTGTTCTTTGGGTTTCTATACGTTTTAATATTTCTTTCAAATAATACGTGTTTAAAGCATTTTTCTCGAAAACATCACCAGGTGTCTGCCTCTACAACGGGAGGTGATGAGCGGCCAACTGCAGGACAGAGCAGCGTTCTTTCCCGCTGTGGCACATTCCCAGGGTCCGGTGTGCGGCTCGCGATCATTCCACACATGTTGCGACGTGCCCCAGGGGAAAACTGAGAACACTGTGAAAAACCCTTCCGCATTAATTGATCGCCTGATTAATTGAATCTCCTGTTTCGGAGAGGCGGCAGTGTATCTGAGGGCGATGCGTAAGACTGTAAGTTGGGAAAGTGATGAGAGCGTGTAGATATTCACGGCTGTCGTTGAGGCAGAAGATATTTTTGATGAAATATGAGGGCTCTCTGACCCTCCCATAGACAGCAAGGTAACTACCACATTCATCACGCCGGATCTGTTTTAATATTTCTTTCAAATAATGCGTTTGAAGCATTTTTTCTGCCTCTACAACGTGAGGTGCTGAGAGGCCAACTGCGGGACAGACCAGTGTTCTTACCCACTGTGGCACATTCCCAGGGTCCGGTGTGCGGTTCGCGATCATTCCACACATGTCGCGACGTGCCCCAGGGGAAAACTGAGACCACTGTGAAAAACCCTTCCGCATTAATTGATCGCCTGATTAATTGAATCTCCTGTTTCGGAGAGGCGGCAGCGTATCTGAGGGCGATGCGTAAGACTGTAAATTGGGAAAGTGATGAGAGTGTAGATATTCACGGCTGTCGGTGAGGCAGGGAGGCTTTGATCCACTCTTTGCATGATTTGCGATTGCCTCTGGCTTCACTGCAGTGCTAGTTAATCGAACATAGCTCATTGCACATGCTTGATGGATTAAAGCTTAACCAATGGATTTATTGAGCTCGTAAACCCCTTTCTAGAAAGCACAAAAGTTGTGGGCTTCAGTCTAGCAGCACACAGAACCTTGGATACAGTTTCCACAATTTGTCTAGCTCTTTCCATAAATTCACACCCGGAGTAGTATGAGAGCTGCAAAGTGCCCTTTCCTGTTCACCAGAAGTTAGCTTTGAAAACGATCGGGGGTGCATCTTCATTAGTTATCGCAAAGTCAAAAAGAAATGATCGGATCAGCGTTGTTTGTGCTCGAGCCAACAAGGCGAGGCACGAGTGTTGACTGATAGCCTACTCAGATTGGGGGATAAGGACAAAAATATTTGCCATTATCAAGCTAATATAAAATGTGCTCACAAGCACAAAAATAATGGGACTGAATAAAAGTCAGAAGTATCGATTCCTATTTTAGTGGACTTTTATGTGAGCTGAAAGAATAACCGATGCCAACTTTGAGCTTGACGTTGAACGTTTCTTCCTCAGCGGGCCCTTCAGCCTTAAGGGGGAAAAAAAAAATTCTACAGAATGCCAATGGCCTAGGCTACTTAGTGATCTCTGCATCTTAAACTGGGATTGGAAAGAGTATTTTGTATTTATATGATGTAAAATTTAAATTAAAATAGCATGCTATGTAAACTATTGTTAGCTAGTAGCTAGTTGACTAGAATTAGTTTTGTTTGTGGCATCCCTTTCGAGGAACAGAGATCAAAGCAAGTTGCCATAGCTGGAGGAATACATGATTAAAAATATTTTTTTTATTTTGGGGAAAAAACATGAATAGCTTTTTTGGCTATAGTCTACAGCATGAAATGAAAAACAAATATATATAAATAAATATGGTTGTAAAAAAGGAAGTGATTTAGAATGTGATAGAACGTTTCCTCGTTTCTCTCTGAAATAGCCTATGATTTTGCACACATTTGGCACATAACTCAGATCTATTCTTAGGAGAGCTCGATAGCTGTCGGTTTCCGCATACACAGTGCTGCTTTTCACGTCCTAAATCTTAACCCTTGGGTATGTTGTCGGACAGATGAGAAAGATTTGGCCTGCTTAACACATTTGAACATTCTTCGTCGTGGACGACAGCCAGCCAAGTACTGAATCCTGACAAGCGATCCCCGTGATAGGCCTACACATGGGATCCATGTTCCATCCTGAAATGAACTGATTTAAAATTGCGTGATTTATTAAGGTTATGTCCCTGTCCATCATAAATGAATAAATCACTGTCTGTCTGTTCGTTGTCCTCAGATGAATAAGAACACGACGTTTTCTCTTGCGCTTTCAAAAACCTGTCGATTTCCCATAGGCGCTGCAGGACATACACTCTCGCTCGCTCTCACTCAAAACACACACACACACTCACCCACCCACCTGTTTAGCCGTGTAGCAGCTGCCAATAACACCTCTGCTATCTTCCGGTAATTTAATACATAGGCCTACATAAAATTAAACGCGAATATGTGCAAATTATGGAAATATTGGTCTTGAATTGACATTAGATTAGTTATCATGCATGGCGGATTTCAGTGTTTTCAGTGATGAATGTCTTAAACTGACATCCTTCAGCAGAAGCATATTCTTAATAAGCTTTTGACAGGCAAAACTTTGTCAGACACACTTTTGTGAACCTGATGCTCAACATTGGCAGGTTACAAAACACGAAACGGAGTGAGAGAAAAAGTGTCGAACCTATTGCCGTTTGTTCGATATATTTGGTACAGTTCGTTCAGACAGTAGTGACTCGTGACACTGCAAAATAGTCAGGACTGTAATTTAAGATAATGTTGAGTTTGAAACATGCTCTATTCTCTTTTCGTGAAATCTTATTCAAGAAGCCAAGCCAGATGTAACCTTTTGTGTTTTGAAGTTTACTCATAGTGCGCCCTGTCAACTTTAACATATGCCTATAATAGGTCCAAGCAAGGATACATGTTTGAATGGGAAAACACATGTAGTACAGTAGACAGCGGCGGCACAGGGAGAGAAAGAAGGAAAAAAGAGTGGACGATCACTCTCTCTCTCTCTCCCTCTCTCCCACGCTATGTGCCCTGGCAGTGAAATCGTGAAAGTTCCCTGCAGGTTTCGTTTCAACGTTGAAAAACAGATGCACATGAAATCGCCGTCCGTGATTCCGTGCTCCTTATGCCAAGCACAACATTCCATGATGAACCTAGGGTGGAACAATTAGCAAGGGGGGTTTCATCCCATTTATCCTTAATTAAACGTTCAAAATGAAGGTTAGCCATGTGTTTTAGAAGATAGACGAGAGAATGTATCTTGTCAAGTATGCTGGCAGCTTGGCAATAGCTGGCCATTCCATTCAAATAGGCCTACAGATCATCCTTTAAGAAAAGATAACTGATCATTGCAGGCCTGTCGAGATTTCCTCTCAATTCTGTATTTCCACTGTAATCTGAGTTTGTATTGTGCAATGAGATTTAAATCACATG